TCCAACTTGAGGGGGGTATTGATAATTATAGTTGACACAATCATTTAGTTAGTTAATGCAGTTAGTTAGTTAAAACTAGTTAGTTTATCCTTAATTCTGTTATATTTCTTGTTACACAGTTTTAGATATTTTCTATATTTTCTGTATTGTATAAAAGTGTGATACTCTCATAATAAACATACACTTTTTCCCCCAAACTTCCATCTTCTCTGTTTCCCTCTAAACATACATCTTCTCTAACTTCTGTCCAAGTTCATCCATGGAAAATTGAAGCATGATAATGGAGTATTTTTGACAAAATCTGTTTATTTTGGGTAAATCGAACCCAAAATCGAATTAGATCGCAAATTGAATAAATTGGAAAAAATATTGACTAGTGGTTTGGTTTGATATTGAAAAAAAATTCGACTATATTTGAGTTGGTTTGGTTTCAACTAAAAAAACAACCTAAGACTAAATCAACCCGACATTATATATATAATTTTAAATTTTATTTTATACGTAAAAATACTTATTTTGATATAATTTATAAATATCTATTATACTTTTTCATAGTTTTTATTTTTTTAATATATTTATTTCATGTTTGGAAGTTAGAAATCTTAATGATCTAATAAAGATTATAGTCTCTACATGTTGGTAATATAATAAAAATTTAAATAAAAATCAAATCAACACTAAGAATAACAATAATATTGAATATTTGTTTTTTTACATAAATTTAGACAATTAAAATACATGCACTAATTTTACTTTCTTTTAATATTTAGTCATGTAACTAATACTTACTAAACTTATTTTAGCATGATTTAGTATTTTAAATTATGATCAATTTCATTATAACTTATTCATTTGAAATATTTTTTCTACGCGATTTTATTATTATTATTTTGTTGGATATTCAAGTGTCGTTAATCATATCATATTTTTTCGTTATTTTCTCGAGAAATAACTGGATAGTTGCATGACTAAAGAAATATTTGAATTACAAGTAAATTATACGTTTGTATGAAAAATTTATCGAAAAAAACCCTAAAATTCGAAGAAAAAAAAACCAAAAAACTGAAGAAAGAAGTTGAAAAATCAGAGTTTTATTGGTTTGGTTTGGTTTATAAATTCAAAAATCCTACACAAATGATTTGATTTAATATTTAAAAAATCAAAATCAACCCGATCATGTACACATCAACCTAAATTTGACTTTTGCTACAATTTAACCTTTTTTTTTTTTAATGAAATAGAAAACAGAACTTAAATTATGACCTTAATTCTTGAACCTAGTAAAAAGAGATGGGGATACTAATATGTGATAACATTTCCACAACAGATAAATAGCCTAGGCCCATAATTAGTAAATGTGAAACTTTTCCAACACGAAATCTCTTCTAAAATAAATATATTTTCAACTATATAGAACGTGATGATCAGGACAGTTCATCAATCGCATCGAATGATCATGACATCATGCATCTCGAGCTTAGCAAGTCAATGAAACTCAAGGTCTGCAAGTTAAAAAAGATGGAATTTGGATTCCAATTTCACCCCTCCCTAATGCTTTCATAGTCAATATTGGAGATACTTTTGAGGTATTCCCCTAATTCTCTTCTTTTTATCTATTATTCTTTTCTCTATATAGTTTTAATATATATGACCATAATTGACTAATATTGTTAAAATATAGCCAAGACCGACTGACCTGACCTGACCTTGACTTGAAACCCAAGACATGAGCCTTGACCCTGGACCTGTCACTCTAGACCTTAGATAAGAGACTCGGCCCTAACTTGACACACAGAGATTTGATAATGACCCGAGATTCGACCCCTGGTCCAAGACGCGACTTTGACTAAGAATTCGAGACCCGAGTCTCAAACCCTAGCCAAGGACGTAACCAGACACAAATCGAGACTCAATTTTGATCTAGAACCCAAGCCCTACAATCGACCCTCAAATTTGACTAGGAATGGTAGATCCAACCCTAATTGGGCCTCGAGAACTAACCCGACCAAAGACAAGAGATCTCAAAATAGACCTCAACCCAAGACTCGAGACCTAACTTTGACCCTAACTCAAGACATAAGACCCTAAACCTAACTTAGGACTTAAAACTTGACTTTTCTCGAGCCCCTAGACTCAATTTTAACCTAAAACCCGAGATGCGGCCTCGACTCATGATGACCTTAACCCTAACTCGAGACTTGGGATGTAAGTTTGATTAAAACCCAACCCCAACTGTGGACGTGAGATCCTAGACCAGACACTAACTAGAGATTCAACTTGTTTCCAGAACTCGAGACTCGACCCTGAGAAAACCCTGACCCTTACTTGATATCTAAGATCCAATAATGACGCGAGATTCGGCCCGCGATCTAAGACCCAACTTTGACTAAGAATTTGAGGCCCGAGTCTCAAACCCTAGTTGAGCACGTGACCCCAACCCTAACCTTAGACCCACATCGAGACTCAATTTTAATCTAGATTCCAAGCCCTAAGATCGACCCTCAAATTTGACTAGAAATGGGAGTTCAAACCTAACAATTGGGACTAGAGAACTAACCCGACCCAAGACAGGGAATCTCAAAACTGACCTCGACCCAAGACTCGAGACCTTATAACTTTAACCCTAACTCAAGACATAAGACCCTAAACCCAACTTTAGACTTAAGACCTGACTTTTCTTGAGCCTTTTGACTCGACTTTGACCTAAAAACCGAGACGTGACCTCGACTCATGATGACCTTGACCCTGACCCAAGACTTGGGACCTAAGTTTAATTTGACTCAGACCCAACCCCAACCCTGGACACGAGATCCTTGATCAGACACTAACTAGAGACTCAACTTAGACCCAGAACCCAAGACTCGGCCCTGACTTGAGATAACCCGACCCTGATTCGAGAGTCGAGACCCGACTTTGACTCAAAACCTTAACCCTACTACCTTGACGCATGACTCAAAACTTGACTTTGACTCAAAACCCTCACCCCGACCCTGACTCGGCTTGTAGACCCGTTCTTATATTTCTTTATTGTTTAATTTGGACCAGATTTTCTCAAATGGAATTTACAAAAGCATAGAGCATAGATCAATGGTGAGCTTAGAAAAAGAAAGGATTTCAGTTGCAACATTTCAGAGTTCAAGATTGGATGTTATATTAGGTCCAGCAAGTAGCCTTGTTACATCTCATAATCCACCTAGATTCGAAACAATGGGAGCCACTGAATTTTATAGAGGATATCTTAACCGTGAACTTCTTGGGAAATCATATGTGACAGCCATGAGAATTAATCACCAATGAAGAAGATTCAAGGAATTAATTATGGTACGTAAGTAAGTAAATCCTTTGATATGAAAGGATTAAAATAAAAATAAATAACATCGATATGTGTTCAATGATAATATCATAACATACTGAATAAATATGATGTACAATAATACTTAAATATTTGAATCTGAATACATGCTCAAATTCTTATGTTGTAAAATATTGCATTAAAATAGACTTGAATACTAAATAATTCAGACTATTTATTTTTTAAACATATGGAATATATAATTTTTTTCTTTATTTAAATTTAATAAATATTAATTTAATAAAAGTCTTAACTTAATCTGATACATATATGATATATCAAGAAAATGATTTTTAAAAATTATACGGTCATCGTGGAATATGCCAAAAAAAAGTTTTAAAGTGATAATCACCAAATTAGCTTTTTGTTGGAAAAAAAAAAACTAAATCTAAGCTAAATCAAGTGAGCTGAATTTGTGCTTTCCCAAATTTACTCCATCATTTCACAAAAACAATGAATAAATATTTATATTTACATGTCTATATAGTAAAATAAATGTTTTCTAATACTTATCATTTTACAAAAATAATATATAAATGATACTATTTTTTATTTTACCTTTAAGAGTAATTAGCTTTAAAAATATTAATTTGACCAATATAAAAAAAGCTAAATAAATAATTAATATATATTGATCAATTTAATTAATCAAAATTAATTAATTCATGTTTATTGATTAAAAATTTGACTGAATATTAAATAAGAGTAAATGATAAACTTAATTAACTATAGGAAATACTTTAAATATGCCCCTATTATACTTTTTGTCTAACTATACCCCTTCTGTTATACTTTAGGACTAAATATATCCTTATGATTACCTGATGACATGTGTTGTTTTAATCCTGGCCGTCCACATGTCATCAGTTAATCATAAGAGTATATTTAGTTCTAAAGTATAACAAAAGGGATATATTTAACTCAAAAGTATAACAAAGGATATATTTAAACTATTTCTTATAGTACAAAGACATATTTAATCCTTTGCCGAATTTAAAAAGATAACAACTATATAAAAACGAAGGTAGTATAATAATATATTTATCTTTTTCTCCCGCACATTTTTCGCATCTAGGAGTAGGTAGTATCAAGACTTTTGATCAGACAAGGCTCCACAGACAACAACAAAATTTTTTTTAGTGATTTTTAAGTGATATAGATCCAGATTTAAATTTATGAGTTTGCGTTAGTATAATAACTCATTTAATCAAATAGAAAAATGATCAATTAATATGAAATGATGGGAGTATTCAAGATTTGAATCAATGTATTTGCAATAAATTTTAAACATATGAAAAGATAAAATCAATCTCAAAATAAAATATGAAGAAACTTTATTCATTAAGATTGTGAGTACAATTATGTTCCTTCTTTAATTCTTCTCTCATAAGATATTTATTCATAATTCGAGAGTTGTTGATGACGTATTTCTCGAATACTTAGATTTGACATCTATATAAATATTTCATGACTTTTGTGAAATATATCGAGTATCAATGTGAACTGAACACATCTTGTAGAGTTTCACGAAATCTTAATATGAATTTAAACTAAATATTGCAATAGGTCGGCCCCTTTAATTTGACTAGGTAAAAGTCAATATTGCATATTATTAGACTGATTTTGTACTATGAGTTAGATGTGCCTATTTATGTAGTTGGGGTATTTCTTTTTACCAATACAACAAAAATATTCGTCAATGGTTATATTATGGTAAATATGGAAGAAAATAAATTGGTTAAGCTAGGGGGATCTTTGCCAGTACCAAGTGTTCAACAATTGACCAAAAGCTCACCGGAAAATGTCCCGGCGCGTTACCGGAGAGATGATGATCAACTACTTCTTGTTCCTCCGATGATGAAATTTGATCATTATAATATCCCAATCATCAACATGGAAAGCTTGCTTCGTGGCGATGAAATCGAATTCAACAAGCTTGATTCTGCTTGTAGAGAATGGGGATTTTTTCAGGTTAATTTTTAATTCGAATATAAATAGTAATACTAGTTGGGTTTCTGCTATTAGTGGACCGGTAAATAATAATTCATTATTTTTATTGGAATTTGTGTAGTACTGCGTATTTTCAGTTTGGGGTATCGTAAAATCGTGGCATATTAACTAATTTTTGTATGAACCGATCAAATGATAAAAGTTCTCTTCAATCAAGCTAATTTTCCAAAATCATTAAGAAGAGCAAAGTTGGAATCAGTGTTTTCAAATTATATATTATTCAGATAAATTACCTGAATTTTATAGTAAATATATAATTAATTAATATATAAAAATAAACAGTTTAATAATGATAACATTGACAATTAACAATAAGGAAAAGGGTCACTTGTAGTACTAAATAGCAGTTAAATATGTTTCCCATTACGAGGAGATCAAGTTCACATTTTAATTTCAAAATAGGTTTGAACTATAGTAGATATATGAAATTATTTTGCTATTTTTTTATCGTTACAAAATTGAGATTATTAAATTATGAGAATTTATGATAATCCTGTAATTATATATTTTTAATAAGCTATTATCTAATTTTTAGTTATCATCTTCAATGATGAGAGCTAAAAATTTATATTAGATAAATTTAATGCCTCTTAATAAAGTTGGCTTTAGAGGCCATAAATATTGTTGAGCCACCCCTAGCGTATAACTTTACCATTTAAAATTAATTTGTGTTATAAGATATGATTATGGACAACATCGAATTAATGAAAATTTTATGTTATATATTTTTTTATCCATTTTTCACTAAACCAACTTATAGGGAAAACACATGATGAAAAGCAGAGAAAATTCTTAACTTTTCCATATGAATGTATAACTTTTTTTTTTGTGACTGATTCAATCAAAATATATATATGTGAGTATATTTTTTACAGGTGATAAATCATGGAGTGAGTGGTACACTAGTAGAGAAAGTGAAGAAGGATACTCAAGATTTCTTCAATCTCCCACTAGAAGAAAAGGAAATGTTGAAGCAAGTAGATGGTGATATAGATGGCTATGGACAAGCTTTTGTTGTTTCTGAGGACCAAAAACTTGATTGGGCTGATATGTTTTTCTTGACAACCCTCCCTCCTCAATTCAGAAAAAAACATATCTTCCCCCACCTCCCTCAACCATTCAGGTATTATTACGATCCCGATTAATTCAGATTCTCATTACGTAGACCTCATTTGAAGGTATTATCCCAAGGTTTAACCTCGAGACCACATATGTTTAAAGGTAGAGGGATCTCATCCATTCAATTGTAACCTTTAGTGGTCCTGTAATTTTGGCTTATTTGTTTTGTTATAGTTTGCCTTGACATAATAGTTAATGAATATGTCTTGTTATTGCTAACAATGTTCATTCTTTTTAAAAGGGAAAAGAGCCAAATATGCCCTAAACTATTTGAAAAAGTCTAGATATATCATTCGTTTAAAGTTTGGCTCACTCATACTCTTACCATCCAACTTTTGTCCCAAATATGTCCTTATGGGTGTTACTGGGTATGCTGGACATATCCAGCTCATTTTTTATTTCTTTAAATGTCACGTGAAATTATAATGTCATTTTGACCAGCATACCAACTAACGCGCATATTTGGGCCAAAAGTTAGACGGCAAGGGCAGGAGTCAGCCAAACTTTAAACGAAGTATATTTAGACCTTTTCGACTAGTTTAGGAATATATACTCAAACATGAGTGCCAGTTATTTTACTATATTGTCAGTATACATAAGTTAAATCCTGAGTTTTTTTGTTGTATTGAAACAGAGGAACAGTGGAACTATATGCAGTTGAACTGAAAAAACTGGCTTTAAAGATCATTGATTTTCTAGCAAAAGGATTGAACATGGATAAAGAATACATAAGGGAACTTTTTGGAGAAGGATCGCAATCAATGAGGATGAATTACTATCCACCATGTCCACAACCAGACAAAGTGATTGGACTTACTCCTCATTCAGATGCTGTTGGCCTCACTATTCTCCTTCAACTAAACCAAATGGAAGGACTTCAAATCAAGAAAGATGGAATGTGGATTCCTATTAGTCCTCTTCCTGATGCCTTCATTATCAACATTGGTGATATCATGGAGGTAATTAAATTGCTATGATCGCCTTTACTATGTTGCTCGGATTATGCAAAAAAATGTTTTTGTACCGTGATGTTCCTTACTTTGAGCTAGCTTTTGGGGTGTGACTTAAGACTAAGACCAAACTTAGCATAGTATCAGAGCAGGACCCATCTCACACAATGTTGGAGCCCCAAAATCAAAATTGTACACGTACCAGATGTTAAGCATTGGACGTGAGGTGGGGTGTTAAAAAATGACAAACGTCCCACATTGATGGTTAATGAGATGAATGAATAAGACTTGAACAATCATCCTCCATTTCAGCTAGCTTTTGGAGTGTGAGTTAGGGCTAAGACCTAATTTAACAATGTTGCTTGAATGTTGTTGTACCCTGATCTTCCGAAAAATGCACTACTATTTGAAGAATGCGAGCAACATATAGTGTGATTATTGTTTTAATATATCTTTTACATGGTTAGTGCCAATATTCAAAATCTTGGTACATCAATCAGTAGGTATGAGAGGATTAATGTCGGATCCTTATGGACAAATGGTTGATTTACCTGTTCGAAGCAATTTAAGTGAAGGACTAGCCATAACAGAATACATCATTTCTTGCTATGGAGCATATAAGATGTTGTTAGTCTACATCTATTTTCATTTTTTGTGTTAACAGATAACTGTTAGGTACTCTATTAAATGAGAAGTATATTCTATTCGCAGATAGTGACAAATGGAGCCTACCGTAGCATTGAGCACAGAGCAGTGGTTAACAGCGAAAAGGAAAGACTCTCAATTGCAACATTTTACAGCACAAAACTTGATGGACAAATTGGTCCTGCTCCGAGTATCATTTCTTCTGAAAATCCAGCAAAGTTCAGAAATATTGGAGCTATAGATTATTTCAAAGGTTTATTTGCTCGTAAACTTGATAAGAAATCATACTTAGATGTTATGAGAATTGGAGGTTCTCAGAATCCAGCAAGTTGAAACGGACAGTATTGGACCTATGTGTTCTCTAGTAATTGTGACACTATGTACCAATCTTTATTCAGAAGTTGTGTTTCATCAACATTCTTATAATCCGACAAAGAGGCAATGATCGACACGTTGAGGGAATAAGTTCACCTTGCAAGTGTATCACTTTTTTTACAAAAACACATCAGAGAAGAATTTATCAAGAAAAGTAAAGATTGTTCATTCACAATATTTTCTGATACAAATCATATCACTACAATAAACTACATTTTAGCTACATCAGTTAAAAAAAAAAAGAAGAGAAATGTATTTATGATAAGGAGATAAAAGGAAGACAAAAATAGACCTAATCTAATTTTTGGTCACAAGATGAAGCTGTAATCAGGCTGAAGTCATATGCAATGCTACTAAGGATGCATAAACTCCATCTTTAATGTTCATAAGAGCATCGTGCCTTCCTTCCTCAGCAATGACTCCATTCTTCACAACAGCAATGACATCAGCTCCTTTGATTGTGGTTAAGCGATGAGCTACAACCACAGTCGTCCTATTTACCATTACTCGATCCAATGCTTCTTGAACTATACGTTCTGATTCTGCATCTAAAGCACTTGTTGCCTCGTCTAGCAAAAGAATCTTTGGATCCTTCAGTATAGCTCTTGCAATAGCTATTCTTTGCTTTTGTCCGCCGGATAATTGTATTCCTCTTTCCCCAACCGATGTATCATATCCTTGAGGCAATGACGATATAAAGTTGTGTGCGTTTGCTGATTTTGCTGCTTCAATGATTTCTTCTTCTGTTGCATGCCCTTGTCTGCTGTAGGCAATGTTGTCACGAATTGTTTCGTTAAACAGTACTGGTTCTTGACTAACCAGGCCCATTTGTTGTCTTAGCCAACTTATCTTGAACTGTCTGATTTCCACACCATCCAAATATATTGATCCTGATTCAGGATTGTAGAACCTCTCTATTAGGCTTATGACAGTTGATTTACCGCTTCCACTCTCTCCCACTAGAGCAACAGTCTACAAAGAGAACCAAAAAAAAAAAAAGTTTAAGCCGATTGAGTAAAAGATGAAGTATGCTATAATGGAGAGGGAGTACTCGAAAATACCTTTCCAGAAGGGATAGTTAGGCATAAATCCTTGAAGATTTGGACATCCGGGCGAGTTGCATACCTGTAACTCACATGTTTGAATTCAATATCTCCGCGAACAGCAGCTAGAGTAGTACCAACATCAGAACTTGAGTCAATCTCGGGTTTTCTGTCAAGAATGTCAAATATAGAGGCTATAGAATCCTTGGCTTTGTTAGCATCTGGAGCCATTCCTGTGCTTTGTGTAACCCCAACAGCTGATAGAGTCAATGCAAAGAAAACCTGCAACATTAAAATTTTCTTTCAGAAAATTAATATCGATACACAAGAGCTGAAAAGGAAGAGAAATCCGAGTGACTTTACCTTAAAAACTTGGCCAAATGATGCCAATCCATGCTGAATAAGGACGGATCCTATGTAGAAACAGAAGGCATTTGTACAATACAGTATAAAAGAACCAAAGCCTAAGCTTGCTCCACTAACAATTCCAATCTTCACTCCTTGCTTCATTGGACCTTCACATTTCTTTTGGTACATGTCCATCACTTTCTCCTCTGCACAGAATGATGCCACTGTTCTTATACTTCCGACAGCATCATTTGCTATTTGGCTAGCTTCTTCGTACATCACCTAGAAAAATGAGAATCCATTTTTAAGTTAATTCAAGCACACTTTAATGTAATCTATTTTTCAAAGATGAGAAAAGACGGAATACCTTTGCATCAGCACTAAAACCTTTGTACATCTTGGTCTGGAGGAATCCTTGCACACCAATTAAAGGCATCACGAGAAGGATTATAAGTGCTAAAATCCAATTGGCAGTGAAGGCTATCACGAGCCCCGCTACTACAGTTGCTATGTTCTGTACAATAAGTGCCAGTGCATCACCCATAAGAGTCCTGACCGTTGAAGCATCAGTTGATAACCTTGCACCAATTGCACCGCTGCATTCAAGAAAATTTCACATTTTTAGCTTATAACACTCTGTTAAGTATTTAAGATAGAGGGGGGAAGGCAGGATATGATTTGTTACAAACCTTGAATGTGCAGGATCATCGAACCAGCTGATTTCTTGGTGGACTACTTTCTTAAATGTCAAAGAACGAATTCTCTCGATCAATTTCCCCCCTGCAACTCCAAATAAGTAGTTCTGGAAAGGTACAACTAGCAAAGTTACCACACCGAGGCCAAAATACATGAGTGCCCAGAATCTTGATTCAATTCGCAGCTTTTGTGGTGGGTAAAAGAATATTTTAATAGCTGTCGAGAGTAAGAGTCCAAATAACGGGAAAATAAGACCATGTATGATTGCAGCCAACGATCCAAGTAACAGATATGGAAGCTCAGGTTTGTTTAGTCCAGCAAGCCGCCTAATGGAAACTTTCTTCCGTTTCTTTGAGCTTCCCTTATCTTCTTTTCCCTTGTTCTCATTTCCTATTTCTGCTTCATGAATACCAATTAGCCCAGGAACAGTATAGTTGAGTGTGAAAGAATGTCTAGATGATCCCTGGCTTGTTGATCGCCTCATTGCTGACAATCGCTGGCTTGATGACCTGCTCAGGTTATTATCAAAATCTGTGGTTAAATCCACCTTCTCAAGGTCTATATTTTTCATGTTTTCTTCTTCTCTATTCCCTCCCTGCATTCGCACAAGCTGGGAATATGCCCCATTTGGATCCTGTATCAACTCGGTATGTGTTCCTATTTTCATAATGAGGGAAAAGAATGAATATAGTTTAGTTATACAACTAGAGTAAAGCCTGATAAAAGTTCAATAGAAATTTTACCTTTTTCTAGTAGTTTTCCAGCATTCACCACCGCTATAAGATCAGCATTTCTAATGGTTGTTAGACGATGAGCAACAACAACGGTTGTTCTATTTGCCATGACTTTTTCAAGTGCTTCTTGCACAATTCGCTCTGATTCAGCATCAAGTGCACTTGTAGCTTCATCAAGGAGGAGTATTCTTGGGTTCTTTAAGATAGCCCTTGCTATTGCGAGTCTTTGCTTTTGTCCACCAGATAGTTGGGTTCCATGCTCACCTACCATAGTGTCTAGCCCCTATAGAATCCGCAATGAAAGAGATGAAACTCTCATTCGTTTGCCTTTTTAACAGCTAATTTAATTGTAGGTGTGAACATGGACTAAAGGAAAATCATATATTACCTGAGGAAGTTTATCAAGGAACTTAGCAGCATTAGCAAGCTCAATAGCTGTCTTAATCTCATCTTCAGTAGCATTTTCTTTACCATAACTGATATTCTCTTTTATGGTTGTCGCAAACAGGATAGGTTCCTGACTTACCAATCCCATCTGTTGCCTTAGCCATTTGAGTTGAAATTTCTTTAAATTGACACCATCTATTAGCACTTCTCCAGCTTCAGGATCATAGAATCTCTCCAGTAAACTGATAACTGTGGACTTCCCGCTTCCACTTTGCCCAACCAAAGCTACAGTTTTTCCACTAGGAACAACAAGTGAGAATCCACTAAAGATTTGCACGTCCGGCCTGGCTGGATACTTAAAGTACACATCTTTAAGCTCAATTTCACCCTTGATGTTTTCCAACACAACCCCGCTTGTGTCAGATGTGTCAATCAGAGGCTTCCTATTGATTGTCTCAAACATTTTGTATGCTGCAGCCTGTCCTGCTGCAAACGCGTTCAAAGATGGAGTTGTTTGGCCTAGTGACCTGCAAATTGATAAAAAGAACAAGCAGAAGTGCTTCAGTACTGTTTAGACTGAAATCAAAGATGCTATAAACAGAGAATTATTTGCTTACATTCCACCAGTCATTATAGCCATAATGACATTGATAACATCTCCACCATTATAACCTCTCTCAATTATCAGCTTGGAACCATACCAAACAGCAAGTCCATAAGTAGAAAAAACAATGAGCAAGACCGTGCCAAGTCCAATGCCTGAAACAAGCCCTTGTTGGACAGTAGAAGCACAGGCAATTTTCAGTTTGCTGTCATACTTATCTATCGCCAGCTTCTCTCCGGTGAATGCTGAAACCTGAAGTCATCCAGACTTCATAATTAAATTGCAAGTCTAATACAAACTTACACATGTAGAACTATTTGGATCAGGCTTTTTACCGTTCTGATTGCTCCTATTGTTTGCTCTACTACATTTCCAGCTTGTGCATAGGCAACCTGTCCCCGACTTGACATTTTAGACATGATCAATGCCATAGCTCCTCCAGCAATGACAAGAGCAGGTATGCAAGATACCAACACTATCGACAGAAGCCATCCCTTAAAGAACGCGACTATGAAGCCTCCAACAAATGTTGAGATGAATTGAATGAACTTCCCAACCTGGAATCATTCAACTTAAGCTTTTCATGATTATTTTACAAGAAATTAACGAAAACTAAAACACTATTCAATTTGCAGTAGCATTTGCTGTTAGTAAAGAAAACGCACACCTTTTCACCCAATGCATCTTGAATGAGAATAGTATCTCCAGACATTCTTCCAATAACCTCTCCTGTTGTTGTTTCAGTATCAAAAAAGGCTATGTCCTGCCTCAATATTGTCTTCAAATATAGTCCTCGAATTCGAGTCGCTTGTCTCTCTCCAGTAACCATCCAACATGACATTTCTGCAATGTTTACAAGGGACAAAATTTTCAATATTGAATGCATAGGTTCTCTCCATAACTATCATAGTTCAAGTACTCAAATTTACTAGTGTTATGTTATGGTTCATTTTACACATTATTCTTGATCCTTAGATTAGACTCGTGTTAGGTTTGAGCCAAAATTTTCACTAGAAGAATTCAAATTTTAAAATAAAAAATACTAGGACCTTATAGATAGCATAATTTTTCAACGTAACCCCTTACTACGCTACATCCCTAATAAAATTCTCATTAGAGCTTGAGGTAATTGATGACATTAAACCTTCGCCAGAATAGAACACTTCTATTCGGGGGAGGAAAGATCATCAAATTAGTCGAGCCCCAACGTGGTTACCAGAAAATTACCTTTTTCTTGGGAATATAATTAACCTAGATTTTCCTAAACATGGTGGG